AAAAAAAAATAATAGTAATAATAATAATTAAGTGCACAAGAGGAATACGGGTATTGATAATTACAGTATTTCTTTAATGGCTTACAATCTCTAGTTTCATTGTCTGAAAATTTTATGATGGTGACTGAGAATTATGATAGCCTGAAAGAGACTTCTGCTAAGACTGAACAATGAGTTGTTAGTCCTGGGCATAAACCGAACAATGAACAGTTGCAATTTATATGCTTTAATATTTTGTCATGTTTTGTTCTTATTTATTGTTTTGTTACAAAATAAACTTTTTACTAACTGAAAATGGTGAAAATGTAATACGCGCCCAGGCTTGAATAAGCGCCCACCTCGAATAAGCGCCCACCCTGAAAGTCCAAAAATTAAATAGGCGCCAGTGGACGCCTTAATCGAATAAATACGGTACATGTATGTTGCTATCACAGCTTTACCATCTGTTTAATGAGTAACCTGTCATTGCATTCATATTTGTTCGATGTTCGTTTAAAGAACGATATAGGAACTGGTTTAGTTTGTCGTCGAGAACAAGACAATTTAAATTAACGAGATTCGTCATAAGTAAAAATAAATGTAGTTAGCTGTGGTTTTGAATTCTGCAGTGTCCAGTTTTTTGTGAAAATATTATAGAAAAGTCAAGTCAAGCTGTGTATATTACTAATGGACATTGCTGTTTACAGTAAGTTACATTGCGATCTGAGATGAAGTCAACTCTGTCAGTGTCTCATTCTGGTATCGCGTTGACTATTACTAATGGACATTGCTGTTTACAGTATGTTACATTGCGATCTGAGATGAAGCCAACTCTGTCAGTGTTTTATTCTGGTATCGTGTTGACTATTACTAATGGACATTGCTGTTTACAGTATGTTACATTGTGATCTGAGATGAAGCCAACTCTGTCAGTGTTTTATTCTGGTATCGCGTTGACTATTACTAATGGACATTGCTGTTTACAGTATGTTACATTGTGATTTGAGATGAAGCCAACTAGGGCTTGCCACAAGTTGCTCGGCAACTTTTTGGCAACTTTTCGTATTTCGAGCAACTTTTTTTGTTTNTTTACAGTATGTTACATTGTGATTTGAGATGAAGCCAACTAGGGCTTGCCACAAGTTGCTCGGCAACTTTTTGGCAACTTTTCGTATTTCGAGCAACTTTTTTTGTTTCGAGTAACTTTTTGCATTCTGAGCAATTTCTAGGGGAGACAAAAAAAACTTTTTGCTTTTTGTAGCAACTTTTGAGCACCTTTCGTTACAAAAAGCAACTTTTGACTTTTTTTGGAGCAACTTTTGAGCAACCTTTTGAGAAATTTCGGGCAACTTTTTGGGAAATCTCGAGCAACTTGTGGCAAGCCCTAAAGCCAACTCTGTCAGTGTTTTATTCTGGTATCGTGTTGGTTATGAAATATGTCGTGAAAACTGGCAGCAATGATAGATTCTAGTAATTTCTAGACACGTGCAAAGTAAATTTTTCGAATTAAAGATGAATTTTTGAAATATCGATTATATGGATGGCCCGACGTGGGGTACATCTAAGTGTCATGTGTTTCAGATGACCGAAATGGTACGTCCTCTTAAAAGTTCGTTGTGATGATAGTTCTATCTTACATTGAAGAATTATTGCGAGACCTGTATTTGTTTCCCTAAGTCTGAAAATCATGGAAAGTGGCAAGTAATTTTCGATGGTATTGTCGAGAACGTAACTCATAACAAGTTTTACGAAAGTATTTGGCTGATTTCGAGAATTCCTCTTAGTGTAGATAAAGATCCCAGTTTATTAAAAAGTAAAGTTGTAAATTCCACACACACACACACACACACACACACACACAAAAACACATGCGTCAATAGTACGTGCTTATTTTTACCAAGTGAAAAGAATTCAGTTTATCAGATATGGCATGAAACAAACAAACAAACAAACAGACTGAAAACACTGCAACCCCCTCAAGCGATATGACGTTACTTGTGAGTAAATTAGTGTTTGTTCGTGTTTGTACATGTTGGAACTTCGCCTAATAGTAAATATCAATGACCTTGCTGAAATTTCGGCCAAGTTACCTTGCCCCCCCCTTCCCCCCCCCCAAAAAAATCTGCCTGTATATATTTATTCTGACTTTTCTTATTCTGCTGTCGTTTGGCAAGGCCACAGACAACAGTTGTAGGATTTACGGAGTTCCAACATGGGTACAAAATTATAAAGGAAACAGCTTCTGTCAATGTTTGTTAGTATTGATTAAAACTCCGGTGTTTCGTTGGTTTTCGCTCTGATGATGTCAGAAGAGTAATTATATAGATATATATGTATTTTGGGGGCGTTCTGACTGTTTGTTGAAAATGCTTGTATCGATTTTCCATTTCCTTTTTCGAAGATAACACGTAAACTAAGGTTGCGAAAAAATATAATCGAGGAATGAATATAAGAGCGTAAACGATTTTGCTAATCTAGTAAAGGGAACATGAGCACCTTTGTTAAAACTTGGACTGACGTGATGGCTAGAATTTGTTTAAATAACTATTTGGATGTAATGCCATAAAATTTCCACGTTTTCGTAAAGCGTAAAGCAAGCACAGGTGTATTTTGCAAATTAAATAAGATGCACGACTAGAATCTGTTTTAAGGACTTCATAGGGCTTGTTCATGCGCATGCCTGACAAAAATAAGAGCAGTTATCACATATTGTTATGAAATGTCAGTTATATATCAATATTCCTTTTTAGAGCCATAGATCAAATAGATTAAGTTGTCAGACTATGTTTTTCAACTTGCTGTTTTTTATTACGAAAACTGATAAAAAGCAAATACTGTTTCTGTCCGCCAATAAGGAGCAAAATTTTCAATTTTAATTTCCTTTTTCGTTAGTATTGAATATGCCACATATCGCTTATGTTGAAAAGACAGTGAGGATTGGGTTGTACTTACTGAACAACCACCAAAACACTTTGAACGTGTTATATTTTGCGTGTGAAAGATACGCCTTTCAGACTTGTGGAACTTACTCTTCACTAACTTTCCACTTTCGGTTGCACAGGAATAGATGACAGCAGCACAGGTAAGTGCTGGTACAGTTGGGTTAATTCTCACTTTCATCAGGCCAAGTGAAGATTACACCTGCCATCAAACTGATCTTGCAGGGAGAAAACCGATCCTCAGTAATTAGCAAGCTGAAATCGATAACTTGCCTTTTAATTTCATAACTTGCTTTCAGATCGTTTAATCCTCTCTTTTTTGCGAGCCTTTAGACGACCTTTTTTCTTCCAGCTAATTCTTGATAAAAAGAAAACAAGATTTATATATTGCGTTAGCTCAAACGAAATGCTAAATATTATCATGCTAAACTGCTATTCAAATGAACGCTGTATTCATCCTTGGAGATCACTATGTTGCAAGGCTGTTCATGAAACTGAATTAACGTACCTTTTGAGTATTTAACTGTGATATCAACACTTATTCAGACTTGGAAAGTCTTCATTGATTAGTGGGTAAATTTATTATGAACTGAGGCGAGAGGAGAAGACTAAGTTCAATTTGTTATGCTTAGAATCACGATTTCCCACCAGTAAAATAGTTCTTAACATGCTCTTAAATGTGAAGTAAGCTCTTAAACAGGTGTGCGGTTGATGCAAGCTTAACTGGCCATGGACTTCCAAAAAGGATAATTTGGGGTTTTATTTCGTTGCCAGTAAGTCCTAGTAACACATCTTGACAATTAGTTTCAGAACACCTTCCTGGATGAGGAAGAATGAATGAATCAACAAATGCTCCATTTTCCCTTCAACCCCGCGGCTCTCTCCAAGTAACCATGGAAATCCTCGTCACGTGTTCTCTAATGGTACTTGGAGCTTGTGGAAATACATTAGTGTTTATCGCAGTCTGGAAAGAGAAATCGCTGAGGACAACACCAAACGTGTTTGTGGTAAACCTAGCAGTAACGGATTTCCTGTTCTGTGTGGTAGTCCTGCCGCTGACCAGTGCAACATTCATACAAGGCGAATGGAAATTGGGCTTACATGGGTGCAACCTACAGGCGCTTATGTTTAGTACAAACGTAAACGCAACACTTGTAACTATGACAACAATAAGTATTAATCGCTTCATCCTGATACGCCACAGGATTAAGTACAAAACTGTTTACACAAAGAGAAATGTTACCTTCATGATATTCGGAATTTGGTGTTACGCCATTTTGGTGGCATCTCGACCGTTTTATGGCCTGGGTGAGTACGTGTTCAACCCAAACAATGCTTTTTGTTCTATTGATAAGAATCCTGACAGCGCCAGCAGAATATCACGGTTTGTGGCTTATTTCACGTTATACGCAAATATAATTATTGTTATGCGATGCTATGTTGGAATATATCGAACAGTACGACAGCACAGAAGGCAGATAAAGAGCAATCAAGAAAGCGACAACACAGGGCACAGTAGCGAAAACCGGGGACTTCGCAAAGAAGTCGGAGAAGACGTACGTATTGCAAAAACGCTTTTCGTCGTTATTTGTTTATTTGGAATTTGCTGGTTTCCAACTGCCGTGACAGGTATTGTTGTTGTCTTTGGTACCACGATTCCTGGCCTAGTACAAGAGATGTTGATGCTTACAGTTTGTCTAGCTTCAGTAGTTAATCCTATGGTATACGCTGCAAGAAACAGGCGGTTTCGACGAACTTTTAGGAGAATAATTGAGTTGCAGTTTTCCACAGTTGCTGATCGTCCGGCTTTAAGAATCTCGGTTCGTCCTGAACGTGCTCAAACAACGCTATAATATGTCTCTGAGCCAGTATCAGAATAATTCTACGGAGGTGTTGTTCTTCAAAGCAGATGTCCTGCGAATTCTGGTCGCCACGCACTTTGGATGCTCCTTTGACTCACTGTTTGTTGTAAATTCAAATACTCAGCTGGGCAAGCATTGGTGAATTTTTGTGTTATTTAAAGCAAAGAAGGTCAAAGAAAGACACCAAGATATTTGGCCCCGTTTAACACAACTTACAAACTATTCAAAATGTACCAATTCGTTTTTATTCCCTCCTGCCTGATTTGTAATTGTTTTTATTCTACTCGGATTACGTATTTGCGGTCCTGGCATTTTCAAAACTCCTCAGCCATAACGCCGTACCTATTGAAAGACAGAGCATACAAAACCTGAATATATATTTCTATTGTGGTTATGTAAACTTGCTGTAGACCACAATGTAAATGAGGTTGTATCGACAGGTTTCGTAAGACCTCGATGGTATCCGAGAACTGCCACTATTTGTACACTATTTGCATGATCCGGCTCGAGGGAAACCCTGTTAGTGCTAAATCACCCGCAATCAATGTTAAATACGGGAGTTCTCTTTGTGAAAGGTGAGAAATGTAATCTAGGCAGTCTAGTTGGACTCTCTTGTGTAGGAAACATTCTTTATGAGGACGCTGAGGACATTTCTGACCTTCATAGCAAGATTAAAGTAATCTAATTGCTATTAAGTTTCAAATAAGTGAAAATTAAGTGTGGCACATCCCAAAAAACGTTCATATGGCCATTTTAAGGGTATTACGACGTAACTTGGATTGTTTCCAACACGTCACAGTGTACATGGCCCGGAATTTCGCAAGCTTAATGTACGACAAATAATCCTTTTCCTCCTGTTTTAGTAGAATAGAAAGTCCAATAGCAACCAAAATGTACTGACCGCTCAGAAATTATGTGTAGCTTCCTATGACTTTCTTTTCAGAGTATTTTTAAAAACCGCATAGTAATTATACGGGTCTTCAAAATACGCTTTTATTGGTGCCTTAGGCTCCGTCCTCACTACGCCGGATAAATCTGAAAAGGGCAACTTTATTTCTTCAGTTAGGCCTACCGTTCGGGCTAAAGAGCCGAGCTTTTCGAAAAGCCTCTTCAAATTTAACCTGAGGAATTTGAAAACGCCGGCTTTGCGTTTTAGTGTAGACATAACAATTTTAAAACGGAACTTTTCGAAAACGATGGCGTCACGATAATCACGTGATTTCCTCGTCCGAGTTTTCCTCAACCACAAATCCAGAATTACCGGTTATTGTTACGTTTTCAATTTTCTCCGTCGCAGTGTGAGCGGGGTCGATAACAAAGCCACCAAGAGCCTACTATTAGTTATCCTGCAAAATATCCAATAAATGCATGTAATTGACAAAGATTTATTTCTCATGAAGCAAGAAAACTTAAACGATCATACAATTTGTGCAACACCAGAACCGTCCGTTTCTTGTTTGCACCGTGTGTAACTTGTTTAACTGAGGACAAATTTTCATGGTTTCTTGTTTCCGTCGCCACTCAAGGCTCGAGATGAATTTCTGTGCTGCGCTGTTATTCTCACTATCAGTTTTAGCTGAGTTCAAGGCAACACAAGAAAAAATACTTCACACAACTGATACAGAGAGGAACAATAAATTGTTCAGTTTATTTACCGCTATGGCTCCAAACAACATGTTGTCGTCGTAACGTGTTTCGTTTTTAACCTAGAAAATATTCATATTTTCCAAGTTGTAGTGGTGCCTGATTTCACTCCATCACTCCTTCACCTCTTCACTGGGTCACTTCCTGTTAGACATTTGACTCTCATATGATAAGGTCAGGGATGCTTGTCTGAAAATTTGAATTTACGTCCTAAAGAAGACTAATATGGACGACACTCGAGCTTCATTAGACCCCTAAAAAATACCACTTAAAACGGAATAGGTTCGATTAGTAGCCACTGTTCAAGAAACGATTATATCTAGCGCGCACTTGTAGACCCGATTCGCGTACTCGAGAGATCAGCGGAAAACAAATGAGAGCGTTTCTTTTCTTACTATTTCTTTGACTGCACCCTAAAGGATACTTTGACAGCTAAGAATGGTGTCGTTTCGTCATCAACACCTCAAATGAGATCAGAATCCTTGGTTTGCATCCGAGACGCATCCCCGACCTTTTCATACAGGAGTTCCCCCGCCCCCTCCGGGTTCGAACATCGCGCTGTCCAAGGCAGTTATTCTTTGAATTTCTGATGCAAGTACTCAATATCTTACCGCAGAAATTATCTATATTGAATAGATTTTCACACGAACGTGTTTATATATAGAAGCTAATTATATAAATAGTTCATTTCCCGAAGGTGTCCGCTTATACAGGTTTAACTGTACTTCGGCGATTGCCGAGGAGATATTGAAAATCACAAAATTGGTGAGTTGTATGAATTTTTGAAATATGATTGAAGCCGTGATTAAAAGTTTTGGACGATTAACAGCTAGACAAGAGAATTGAGGGGATTTCGCTATTATTTACACAGTATTGTAAATAAATACTTCGAAGATGAATACGGACATGGCGAAATGATCTCAACAAAATAGTTGATAAATAAAAAAAAAAGAGATTACACAAGACTGGGAGTTCAGCAGTCACTACTATTGCCTTGGAAAGGGAAGGAAAAAAAAACGAAAAAAGAAAAAAAAAGAAGTTATTATAACATGGGATATTCGTATTTGGTAATCCATCCAAGCAGGAACCCTGCCGAAAAGGGCTTAACTTTGTTGAGCGAAAGAGACGTGGTATTATGACTCTACGTTAGATAATTTTTTTTGTATTTCTAAGGTCTCTCAAAAGGTAACAAAGAAAGAAACAAAAATCACTGATAACGCCTGGGAAAATAAAGAATGAAAAAAAAAAAAGGAATGAAAACGAGAATCCGATTATACTGAGTATCTTTGCTTCGCTGATCGGACATGAAGCCATACTTTCTATATAATTGTCTCGGACCAGGTCACCAATAACTTCATGAATGTTTTCAACGGTGTCATCTCCTCGTGTATTCTCTTACCGTTGCATTTTGCCAGTGGGCTTTAACTTAAACTTAACCTCCGTATTAAAACCTCAAGTAAGTGGCAACAAAATTGTCACTGTTAACAGACGATCATTTCCAAGGTGAGTGGCTCATAGCCACTTTGATTTATTTTATCATTACGCTGCGCACACCTGTGCTCGTGTGTTGTCTTCCACAGACCCTTTGTCATAAATTTGTAATTTTGTAGCTACGAGACGTTATAAATGAGACTACTAAGAAATGAAATCGAGAGCTTAAGGCGGGACTTAACCTAAAATTCTGAAAGAAATTCGAAGTTTTGTTTTTTACGGAACTCGAATCTTAAGGTATTGAAGTTTTATTTTCAAATTTGACAAGTACTGTTACTGTAAGTTTAAAGCTCGTTTTCTCAGAACGAGTTATTTTCGCTTCTAGAAAAGATATCTTGAGAAGGATTTATTCAATTGAGCTAAAATTTTCAGGATTTGTTGTTTTTAGTACTTTCTGTGGGATAAGCATAGAACTTTTCCATCCAGTGCATTCTGTCAAAGTTATGTATTGAAACGTATGCTAGATTTTCTGTATCAGATTTAACTGGTCA